TGCAGACCCAACCAAATGTGAAAACCACTGAAATCTAACACCATGAAACTTTGTCTGTTTGTTCCAACTCAGTCTCAATTATGATCATCAATCATAACATCAATGTTCTCACTACCAGCATCACTAGTGACATGATGTAGCAGACCAAATACATCAACAGCACCCTGGAAATGATGCAAGGCAAGGATTTAACTTGTGGTTTGTGTCAATATGCCTGAAATAAGAAGAAATTAGTTGTTGTTATTATTATGTATAAAAATGAAACTTTGACTTTTCTCAAAGATAGCTTATTCCTCCTGTTGTCCTTCGCATTTTTGTACGTTCCGGTGAGCATGATGTACAAAGAGGAGAATGAGGAGAGTACGACTGGAAAAAGCAGAGGACAAAATTGGCAACACGGAGCACCCAGCAGCCAATAATTTCTCCGCTGCTACTAGGACAACCTTCAGACTCCTAGGAATAGCCCACGGGACAACGCCGCACATGTCTCCGTCACTGGGCGAACCCCTCTCTGACTCCGAGGACGAGAGGACGTGGGACAAAGAGACGGCGGCTGGAGGACAAGGCTTTTGCTCTTTCACTGAGCACACAAGGAAAAAAATGTTACAAGAAACACACGTCTGCGTCAGGTGAGTATGAAGTACAAACTACAGACTACACGGATTGGAACACGAAGGGACAAGTAGACAGCGGCGAGAGGACAAGACTTTAATTTTGCTCTTTGATAGAAGTAGGAGTATTACTTCTTCTTGAACATGCCACGGACAAACTAGCGGCCATGAGAAAGGTTTGGACGGTTGCCCGCCCTATTGCACGTCACGGTCAATCAATACAATTATTATTTTTTATTTATTTTTCTAATAATTATTTATTGAATAATTTATTAATTTTCTAATTAATATTTTTTCAAATAATTAAAATCAATTTTCTTACATTTTCACGTGTATTTTACGTACACATTGTAGGTCCTAAACTTATATCAATCTTTATGAATCCCATGATTGACCAGCTACGGAGATATAGCTCAACTTATGTTAATCAAATGTATAAATAAACACATAACACACTTCATTTGGGGCAGAGACATTGTAGACCCTCCACTGAATTGCCCTTCATCCTCTCAAGGCTTGTCCCACTGGACCTATTGTTCTTAAATGCTTTCGTATCTGCCAACGCTGAACTCTGATTCCTCTCCCTCTCAAACTACCAGTGACATAGTTCTTTTCGGAAACAGGGGTTTATCTGAGAATCTCAGCAATAAGTCGACCCAGACTGACATTTCCAATATCGGTGAAACACGCATAGTCTGCCAGACTGAGTTGTGTCCTGTGATTGTACAATGTCCAGATGTTTATATACAGCATCCAAGATATGGCCATCCAGCTAAATTCTAAATCCTGTACCTTCAAAGAGAGAAAAAAATGTGTTGATTTACATAGTATGGATAAATTGTCTTATTACCTTGCAGCCTATTTATTGTTTTATGTTATGGTAAATCATGATCATGAAGTTGGTAACTTCTTTATTATGCCATGTCCTGAGTAGATATTATTCTTCGAAGCCTCCATCCCTATACACATTTAAACATTACTTACCTTCGCCTTCCTTTCGGAGATGCACAATGAGTGCTCATGCCATGCGCTTATACATCAACTTCCAGCTGGATTGTAATTTCCGCCAACATCTTAGACTCATGAATTCCTTCAAGACTGACGCATAATGTTCTTTCAGCAATGTTTTGTTGACCATTATTACTCATAAGCACTATGAATGAAGCAATAATGGAGATATGATCTTCAATGTGATTCGATAGTCTTTGAACTGTCTAGGTTATACTCATTTGGAGTATAACCTAGTAGCAAAAAAGCTTTCCAGTTAAATAAAGTACTATTAGGAATGTAGTATAATTATATTCAGTGCTTTGGCCCAGAGGCAATGTCTCTGTAATTAGTGTGGAACCCCAGGGTTCTCCTCCTGGGCAAGATCGAATCCCGGTTAGGGCGGTTGGCGCTTTCCAGTGGACTCACCACCCGCCGGAAGGTTCACAAGGGGCTTGTACGGTGCAGTGTGATTTGGGAAGCGGTTGTGGAGACTGCTTCCCCTGCAACTCAAACGAACATGGATGGATGGATGGATAATTATATTCAAACTTAATTTTAAATATTTGGGATTCATTAAATATATTCAAAACTTGTTATGGACACAGCGGACTGCGAACATACAGACAAATGAATAATGAGATTATGCCTGACAAAGACAAATTTATATTTCAAATTAATTGGGCATCGACCGTTCATTTGCATATTGCATTTATTGCACTGATGTTTCACAATAGATACTATCTACCTTTATATGCCGGGTGGAGCCCTGAACTAAGATAGCTATAGTAGCTATATCGGTATATGCACTCTACTGAGAGCCCTCGTCTAGTTTTTAATCAATCCTAGCTATTTTTACCTCTCTTGTCTTGGGCTCTTTCTTCACGGGCAGTGATTGTATACAGGGGCTGTTGAAGGAAACTCCTGTGCAGCCAGTTGCCGGTTGTAGCATGCCTAGCCCCGTTCCGGGCAGTGTGGTCGAAAAAGGCATCAAGTTTCATTATATATATTCATACTTTCATTACATATATATGCGATTCATTTGACATATTCAAAATTTCATTCAATATATTTAAACTTTCATTAGATATATTTGGGGTTCATTCAATATATTCAAAGTTTCATTCAATAAAAAAAGACAAAAAGACAAAAGTTTGAGAGAAATTGCCATATACTTTAATTTATTTTGAGAAATACAATTTAGACTAAAAAAAATACCAAACATCATTTGCAAGCATCTCTACAATTTCGTTACAGTAAAGTGTATAAAAATGTCATTTATGTCATGACATACCAATTCCCACCAAGAGAGTAACCAGAAACGTGCAGTTTCCCAGAAAATATGTGGATATTGGCAGGGCAACAGCCATCTAAACAACAATGGAAATAATATTCAAATCCAGAACTCTGTGAAAGTGTGTATAATTTTTGCATTAATTGTACTTATCTTACCATATCTGATCCCAGATTGCCTGTAGAAAAAAAAGGTAATGGTTAAAATAGGCACTTTCTTTTGTTTTAAATTACAGAAACAATTAAGTGCATAAATAAATAAAGTGCAAATGTAGTTTCACTCAGACGTTATGTTTACTGAATATTGTATTCTTGTATAATCAAAGACGTTATGTTTACTGAATATTGTATTCAAATAATCAAGCAATTCTTCTTGTTTTTTACAGCCCTACAATACTTTGAGACTCTCAGACTAGAAAGTCAAAGAAGTGAACAAATATTAGAACACATCTTTCATATCCTCTTAGTATTAAATAAACCATTTTATAATCCAGTGACATTAGATCAAGTTTAAATAAAACTGAAAATTATATAAGCTTTAGTGTTTTCTCCACATAAGAAAACTGTATCTTACTCTGCGGTTATAGCAACAATCTTCACCTGAACATAAAATGATTTTCATTTATAATCGTTTGATTAAAGTCACAACAAACAGAACAACTGTTTTTATTATGCAGACAAGAGAATTAAATTGGTCACGCGATAACTTAGTAACCAACAACTGTCTGTCGTACAAAACTCCCTGTGCTCACTGTTTAAACCAGAGGTTCCCAAAGTGGGGGTTATTGCAGTGCCATTGCAGGGAGGAGCATGAATGAAATAAATGAATAAAAATAATGCACCATACTGTCCAATGCTGTAAATGTTTAACAAGAGCCTTGCAAAAAAATGATTACTTGAAGGTATTTAAACTGAATATCTGATGATAATATTGCCCCGGCAAGTACACCACCCGCTCCTTTCCCACACACAAAATCTCACTCTTGCAAACTGAATAAATAAAATGGACACGTTTTGATGGAACTCCCATATGAACACAAAGTAGAGGATGAAACGTCAATGAATGGACACGTTTTGATGGAACTCCCATGTAAACACAAAGTAGAGGATGAAACGTCAGTGTGTATGTGTGTCCTGTGTTTTTTGGGGTGGGGTGCATGAAAATTTAATAAAACAGAACTGTACCGATGCTGAAGCTCAGTTTGGATTGGATCTCAAAGAATATGTAGAATAGTAAGTCCCATCCGACAAATCCACCCATCACTTTCATGAGCCAGTTGTTGAGACTACTGTCAATTTCTTTAAGGCCTGTGAAAATGGCTGTCACTGTTGTCAGAAAGAGCAGCCATTTAGGTAGATAGGTAGACAGACAGTCAGACAAACAGATAGATAGATAGATAGACAGACAGACAAACAGACAGATAGATAGATAGATATTAGCAAATTAAGGACAGATAGACAGATAGATATATAGATATTAGCAAATTAAGAAACATAAACATTTAAACATTGAGAATGAATTTCACATGGTTTCATAAGTGCTCAATGATAGAGAAGCTTACCAGCCAAAGATTTTATCACCACACCATTTATTGCATGAGCCCAGTTGAATAGAAACCTCCTGTCAATGAAAGAAACATATTTTTAAAGTCCATTATTTGTCCCAGAATAGCGCAAATGACCTGTTTCTGAGTATAAGGCAGATGTGTAAGGTACGATAACTGAAGCCTTCATCTGCCTAGCGAAGGGGGATAAGTTGAAATACCTTAGGACAACCATCCAATGTAATGGAAAATGCACACAAACTGTGCAGGTTGTAGGCCACACATTGAATTGTGCTACGTTCACTTTCTTTTGTTTGTTTTGGGTTTTTTTTTGGGGGGGGGACTTTTTGCCCTTTATTACAACTTCCAATCGTAGGTCAGACTCTTCTGATTTTACTTTTTGCCCTTTATTACAACTTCCGATCGTAAGTCAGACTTGTCTGATGTTTTATGTCTTAGTTTATGATTGTGTTTACAAAGCTAAGTAACATAGGTACTTATTTACAGTATGTGTGGTGAAAATTGAGTTATGTCGCATCATAGTAATGTAAGTCCAATGTAAGTCGAGGACCTCCTGTACTTAGCATAGCTCCAGGTCTTCCTCATCACTTGACATAAGTAAAAAAAAAGAAATCTCTTAAATCTGTCAATGAATTGAACAATGTCAGATCTCTCATTTTGCTGTTTCCTGTTTGTTTTGATATTTGGATAAATGAAATCATTTGTTATATGATGTGATAAATTTGTCATATGTTAAAAAAAACAAATATGTTCACAATAATAACTTTATGTCTCTTATGTTACTTTTGATAAACAATTGATGAAAAAGCATACATACTGTGGATGTTTTGGTCCACAACGCAACACAGCCATAATTGCTTGAAGGGCAGAGAGGATCATAACCAGGCAGCCTAAAACCGAATGGGCTTTCTGCAAGAAGCACAAAGAGAAAAATGCACAACTTACTGCTCTTGAAACATAATGTAGATATCAATAGGCCATTATAATTTTTTTTCCATTTTGCTGGACATATTTTCTCTATTTTGAATGACCATTTGATTGCTAATAGTGGTGTTGGTGGGGTGTTTGTACTAGTGTATGCTACAGACTTACATAGGACCAGGCCTTTACATGTGAAAAGGAGAGGATGAAGGCTACAACCGTGGCTGCTATCGTCACACTCATCACTCCTACATGAACCTAGAGGAACACAAACACTACACCATTTGAAAAACTGTGAAGTACAGATGCAATAGTTATATATTATTTATGTATATATTAACCCTTTACGAACGCGAGGTGTCACAGAGCGTGATATGGAATATTGGAAAGGTAAAAAAAAAAAAAAAATGTATATACCGCAAGGCTGCCAATCTGATTGCTACTTTGTTAATCTTAAAGTATAGTAGGGGGACTCTTACACTGACAATTTATATGGGTACGGGCACACTCACACTAGGGCTAGTTGCTCCATGCCACACTTAAGTGCCATTTGGCCTCCACTCCCATTACTCCGAAGGCAAGCGAGCTAAAGTTTGGTTGCCACTGACATATACGTCAGTGACTGTTGTTTATATGCGGTTAAAGCAGCTTGATCTAGAGCGAATCGCTTGGGTATGGTGCAACATCCCTAGAATTAACTGCTAAATTAATGTTGTGTAGGAAAATGTTATCTAGCTCTGAACAACAAAATGTAAGTGACGCTTTACAACCTTGGATGTCCTAAGTATCGAGGCAAGAAGAGCAAAGTCACTTGACATGGACACGCCCATTAAATCTTTTTCCGACAATCACCAAAGCAGCAGAATATATTGGTGTAAAATGATGCGCCACAGCAGAGGTTACGTTTAATTACATTGTAGTATATACTTTAGGGTTAGGGTCTTTATTTTTAGGTCTTTATTTTAGTTTAGGTGCTTAGTGCTTTTGTTTATGTACAATCTTAATTTATGATGTCAAACAAATAGAACAAGGATTAAATATCATCTGTGTGTCTACTTATGGACAATGTGACCCTGGTTTAGACCAATGTTTTTAAGCAGGTTACAACAACAAGGTACATCAGTCATACAGTAATATATGTAATATATTCTTACCAAAAACCAAAGATCTTTGCCGCACAGTTTCTTTTCCTTGGTCATTCCTTTGAGAAAGCGAGCTACTATGAAACCCAGTGTTCCCATGGTCATCCAAGCTGTTAGCATCAGTGCTCCTAAAAAAAAAAAGTATTGTGAAAATATAGTTTGACCCAATTACAATACTCCCTTATCCACCAGTCGTCTGTTCACCCTCCTCCCACCCAGTGAAGAGTTAAACAGTTTAATTGCCTGAAGGACAAAGGGGTTTTTAAGTCTGTTGTTCCTGCTCTTTGGAAGGAGGAGCCTGTCACAGAACAAACTCCTCTGGTTGCTGATGACAGTGTGCAGAGGATGACTGACATTGTCCAGGATAGATAGTAGTTCACGAAGTGTTCTCTTCTCTACCACTGTCACCAGAGGGTCTAGTTTGGTGCCAACAACAGAGCCAGACTTCCTGATCAACTTTTCCAGCTTCTGTAAGTCCTTCTGTGATGTGCTGCTCCCCCAGCACACCACAGTGTACGAAATGACGCTGGCAACCACAGACTGGTAAAACCTTTTCAGGAGCTTCCTACAGATGTTAAAGGCCTGAGCCTCTGCATGAAGAACAGTCTACTCTGGGCCTTCTTGTACAGCTGCCTACTGTTGTGTGCCCAGTCCAGCTTGTTGTTCAGCCACAGCACAAGGTATTTATAGGTCTCTATGACCTCCACCTCCTGACCCTCAATAAGAACTGGTTTCGGTTTGGGTTACAAGTCTAACCAACTCCTTGGTCTTGGTGTTGAGCTGCAGGTTCACCTGTACTCCTCCTCATTGTTGTCCCTAATACACCTCAAGATGGCTGTGTCATCTGCAAACTTCTGGATGTGACACAGCTTACCAGAAGTCAGGGGTGTACAGGGTGAAGAGAAGAGGGACAGCACCATCCCCTGTGCTCCAGTGTTGCTGACCACAATGTTAGATGTGATGTCATTTAGCTTGACATACTATTTTCCTCCTCTAGATGTCTAATGTCTCACCTCTCTCTGTGCTGCTCTAATGTCGGCCCTGTTGTTTCTCCCGAAGGCCTCCTTCTTCCTGTTGAGAACAGCTTTGACTTCCTGTGTTACCAATGGTTTGTTATTAGGGTAACACCGGACCCAGTATGTGGTGTCAAGGCAGTCTCTCAGTTCGTACTCTGCTTCAGGAGTCTATTTCCTGATGGAGCGTTTGATGATTGACTACCCTTGGACCAAAGGGGTGTACTGTGACTGGACATAAACCAGGTTATGGTCAGAACTGCCCAGAGTGGACAGGTCTTTATCATACAGAAGGTCAATTGTACTGTTACTCCTTGTGGGGAAATCCCCCACCTGTTGAAAGTCAGCCCGTGTACAGTGATTAAAGTTACCAGAAATGAGGATGAAAGGCTCAGGGTGTTGTGTCCGCAGCTGTATATCTATATATATATATAGATATACAGTATATATTGTGAATTTTCTCACAGGCAGTGGCTACGACAGCTCTTGGAAGGATGTAAACACAGAGGGAGATCACGTGACTAAACTCCCTTTCTAGTTAATATGGCCAGCGGCTAACGGCTAATAGCTCCAAGTCCCTAAATCCTACAGGTCCACATTATCATCGGTTACGCTGTCAGTAAACCAAGTCTCCATGAAGATGAACAGGCTGCACTCCCAGCACATCCGAATTTACAGTGTGGACTGCTTAACATTAGATAGAGAGTTTACGTTGCCTATAACGGAGGGAATCGATGGTTTGAAATGCCTCTGTTTATCCTCTATCTTTGCCTTTAATTTAACCCCGTTTCTGCATCTTGAGCTCTACCGGTGTGTCGTGTCGTAGTTCATGTGTACTCGTCCCTTGAATAAATTAAAGAACTGGCTTCGGTTGCCGTTTTAGGATTATGGGTATCCATGTGATACATTTAATAATAATGCTTCATGAAAGGAGTAAAGAAAAGGTATAGAAAGTAAGAATGAAAGTAGTAAGAAAAGTTAGTGCGGCAGAGTGACCAGAAGCCATCTGACTTATTTTTGTTATCAGGTGGTAGTGGTTAGTATCATTTTACCACTGGCTTGTTGTAATTTTACAACCACATACAAAATATTGATACAATACTGATCACTTCTTTGGCATTTTTTTCACCAATGATACTTTGTGTGATTTTTGTTTTACCCCCAATTGACACGACAAATACTGGCCATGAAACAACTGTAATATGTATTTTTTACAACATATAAGTCAAAACTAATTACATTACTTTATTTTTTACGCAATGTAACTAATAAATAATATTATTGCTATCATTAAGGGACAAAGTTGTCCTCTTCATCAATTCATAAAATTTATATCTTTTGATGAACATCAATCCTGATGAGGCAAATATCTGGTGTAGTAAATTACCTCCTTAATTTATTAATTGCAATGCGTTATGAGAGTAATACACAACTGATACTCATGCGAGTATCGATATACCAATATCAAAAAATGGGCACTCCTTTTACTAGTAATAGTAAGTATCACTTTAGTATGCATTGGACAGCAAGTTGAGTGCGGCCTTACCGTGCGCTTTTATTATTTGCGGCTGTCCACTTTTTCTCACCTCCTGAGGTCTGGATATGTCAATCTTCTGAGCACTGACAAATCTATGTGCATGATATTGTATTTTCCCTGCAGACACACAAAACAGTAATGTTTTATTCTGATACTTTAAACATGTTGCTGAAAACATGTAGCCTACATTTCACATTCTCTGCTGTCGTTTTTGCTGCCTGTTTGATCTGCTCGGAGCAACAGCGGCAGCCCCGCACAGTGCACCTCGTGCCCCTCTCCACGCAAAGAATCTCACTCCTGCCAACTGACCAAGGTGCTGGCATCGAACATTGCTAGCCTAAATTGGACACATTTTAGATGGAAGTCACCTATGTAAACGCAGAGCAGAGATTGAAGCATTGGCGTGTGTGTCCTGTTTTTGTTTTGTTTTTTGGTGGGGGGGGCGCAAGAATTTTCTTATTAACCAAAGGGGGCGGGGGCAGCAAAGACAGTTACAGAACCACTGCACTAGCCAAGTGGGAAAAGGCTGTGGTCTTTTTGAGTGACAATTGTAAAAGTTCACTCTTTTACCATATCAACCAAGAAAGCCCTTCTCCAAAACATCCATGTGGACTCGGTCTTAGTTTATTTGTATTTCCTATAGAATGTGACTATTACCATTTGTGCTGGGTCCATGAGCAAACATTATATGATAAGCCTCATTGATCCTTGGAGATCCTTGGATATAAATGGTGTTCGTGGAGGTAAAAGAACAGCTGATTATGGAATCCTGCACCGATGTTCTTACATCAGAGACATTTCCCTGGGGAGAAGTAACAAAGTTGTTCCCGTAAAGAAGAAAAGCATTCTTTGTGAAACAGATGATTGGTGACAAACAAAGAGTCCCATGGTTCAAAGATGCCTCATTACCAGAGGAAATGCCTGGGGTGTAATGCGACCTGTTGAAAAGGCTCGCTGCAACAGCACCTGACTTTCGCTGCTGATTATACAAATATAAATGTCATCATTTCCCTGAAAAGAGAACAAAAATCACTTAATGACAAGATGAAAATACAATGTTTTTCATACTAATTCTAACTGACCAAAGTTGGCAATGCTATCATGAAACGGACTTTTAAAGTGCATGAAAACAATTACAAAACCCTTCTTGGGGTAGGGATGTGAAAATGTTCTTAATAACCAAAGGGGGGACCAGCACAGAAAGTTTGGAAACCCCTGGCTTAAGCAGTCAGACATCACTGTTGATGCTGCAATTGATGCAGGTGCCACAACTCAGGTCCAACTGATCAGGTGTGTGAGGCACAGTAGTTGGAACTCTTAATTCTGGATTTGAATTCTGGTTGTGCGAACAAAATTATAATTATAGTATGTATGAGTGCAGTTTAAGGATTTTTTTTAGTTTACTTTTACTAAAACTATGTGGACTGTGACATTGACCTGTAAATATGTATTTCTGAAATAAAGTCACTGGCCAAAGCATGGAGTTGGTTTTGGTTTGCATGTTAAGACAAATCTAGATTAAATTGTTACAAAAAAGGACAATGAAAGAATGCATAGAAAACACTCATTTCAAGATTTTACAAAATACCATTATCTCATCATGAGAGAATCCAAACGAAATGTATCCGTTCGAAGGGCCTGTCATCTCATAGTGGATTGTTGTATTACTATCAGACAACATCATGGCTGACATAAAAAAACAGTCAGTACTGACTGTGGGGTCACAGTTTGCAGGCTCACTGAAACACACTTTGGAGACACTACAACCAGCCCTGGAGATATTCACCTGCAAAAATAAACAATAAAAAGTGAAATAAAACATCAACAATGTTTTTTAAAACCTGTAACATAAGTGTTACAGATTTTGAAAAACATTGTCAACTAGGCCTCTAATTGTGTAATTATTTGTATAATTATAGCCACTTGCCTATACAGGAAAAGCAAGGCTAAAAATGTAGTTCAATTTTCACACAAATATAAATATACAAATATGTTATTATAACTTGTAAATATAACTATTGACAATTTTTACGTATCTGTTTTTTTCTTTGAAAAAGAAACAGTAAAATATCCATCCTCTGCCAATTACTAAAAAGAAAAACTTGTGGTACAACAATGTCACATCCATCCACTGGATAAGCGATTTCAGGTGCAAATTCTCTATATTTAATTTTTTATTTGCATGCAATTAACTTGAAATGAAATAAACAACACAAATTAAACTAGTATATACAATTGTGTTCAAAATAATAGCAGTCCAACATGACTACCATTTGCCAAAGAATATATCGACTGGCCTAAAGAGAAATGGAGAAACATTTTGTGGACTGATGAAAGTAAGATTGTTCTTTTTGGGTCCAAGGCCCGCAGACAGTTTGTCAGAAGACCTCCAAACACTGAATTCAAGCCACAGTACACTCTGAAGACCTTGAAGCATGGTAGTGCAAGCATCATGATATGGGGCTGTTTCTCTTACTATGGTGTACGGCCTTTTTATCGCATACCAGGGATCATGGATCAATTTGCTTATATCAAAATACTTGAAGAGGTCATGCAGTAAGTGAGCAGCATCTTGGTTCCAGACCAACACAATTAATGTTATGGAGTGTCCAGCCCAATCCCTGAACCTCAATCCCATAGAAAACATCAAAAATGTTGTTTCTGAGGCAAAACCAAGAAAAGCAGAGGAGTTGTGGAAGGCTGTCAAATCATCCTGGGCTGGAATACCTATTTTCAGGTGCCAGAAGTTGGTCGACATCCACAGATGTGAAGCAGTTCTCAAAAACAGTGGTTATACAACTAAATATTAGTTTAGTGATTCACAGGAATGCTTAATCTTAATGGGGTTTTTTTTCAGTTTGTTGAGTAAATATTTGAGTTTGTAATCAAAAATGCAGACACTGCTAATTTTTTAACAGCCCAATATCATTTTGTACTTTATTTTCTGTAATTAAAATATTGATACTTTTTTCTTCATGTTTTGATGTAAAATATAATGTGCAGTGTTCCCAATGAATGGAATTTTTTTTTTTTTTTTTGATATTTAAAGGATTTTGAGCTTTACTCATGTTTTAAAAAACACTGCTATTATTTTGAACACAACTGTAGATTAGAAGCATATCTGTTTAGGTTCTCAGTCATCAAGGTCATTTTATCCAAAAATAGTTACATCAAGGGCATTTTTTTATTTTTATCAAGGGCATTTTAAGAGGCTTCTTCTCTACTTCCCAGTAGTCAGTCAAAACTGAAGAAGCCTCTTCAACTATTTTTGGATTTGACTAGGGGAATTCCAGCTCTATTTTTTTTCCCCTCTTTTTCCCTTCTCCCTCCTTTTTTCCTTTTTCCATTTTGGACAAGTGGTTACGGCAATGGAATTGAATTCCATTGGGGTTTCACCACGCAGGTTTGAATCCTGCCAACAATGGCCGCTGTTTTCAATAATTTACCCAGTGCAGGATCAATAAAGGGAGGGTTGAGGGAATCAAGATCGAAGTAACCCCTGGGTCAGGTAACAATCTCCAAAGGCCTTTTGTTTATTGTAGCTCTGTCATTGACCATTGTTGTGGTCAAGATCCTATTAGTCAGCTTGGGGTTTCCTGCTTGTAGAAGCATTAAATCTCGAATGCATAATACAATACTTGGCATACCTTCCATCTTTTACCCATTTAAGATGAGTTGGAAGTGTTCAGCGCCCCGAGGTATCTTTGTTAGTACTACTTAGTACTACTTTCCCCGAGGTATCTTTGTTAGTACTACTTTGTTAGTAGTCATCTTAATGTATTTTTTGGGCTTTGAGGGATACAGCGTCACTTCTTTGGTTTCTATGGTTTCTCCTTCCACTTCTTTTGTATTCAATGAATGGACAAAGCTTGTTAAGGGAACTGGCATTTGGTAGGTTTTGCTGTAATGCACTGTAAATGTCTTCTGCACAGTTTTGGACACATCGATTGTGTGGTCTGCTTTTGGTAAAACTTTTTCTGAAATGTATCTGCATGTATCTGCCCCTAGAATTGTTACTGCATTTGGAATGCTGAAGCTTTGGGGTATAAGGCAAATGTGGGCTGCTGCTTTAACTGGAAAGCTCACTTTGTGCTCTGTTAAAGTGTGACTCGTTAAGTCTACTTCAGAAAACTGTGGTGGCAAGCACTGTCACCTTTTGGCCTATTTCAAAAATTTTACATTTCTGGTTAATGACTTCACAGGATCTTGCTCAGAAGTGATGCTGATGTGTTAGAAAGTAGACATTCAGACATTTGGTACTGCTAGCAGTTTTAATGCTGCTCTGGTACTAGGGATCGTTAATTACTTTGTTTACATTTATGTGAAAATCTCCTGTGTCATTTTTTTATCACTTTCTATCAGTGTAGATTGTGGTTCTGTCAATCCCAACTGTCAAACTGTGTTTGTCCGTACTAGACACCTGATTCCGTACCGTACCTTACACGTACACTACGCAACTTACATAAACTTAGAATTAACTTAAGTTTTTTTCTTTTTTTGATTTGCATTCTTTCTTTAGTGGGCACCATGCTTATATTTATTCGCAATTTCATGCTTTATATCCATAGTTATCATGCATTTCTTCATCTCACAACCATCCCTACTACTTACTCTCTTAGGACTCATCACTATTATGAAGAATAATGCACAAAATAGAGAGAACGTCACATAGATAACGCAAACACAATATAGAAGACTCGCGGGCAATGTGTACGGAAGTCGACGAACACGTGAAGTGAACGAGTGGGGAGGCATGGGCTGCTCTGAGTGCTCGGCTACTTAGTGTTGGTGTCTGTAAGCGTGCTCGTATCTCAAATCTTTACTTGTATCTCAAAGCAAAGATTTGCTGGAATGCTTGCTCGTATCTCAGAATAATCGTATGTTGGGACGCTCGTATCTCGAGGTTCCACTGTACTATCTTGCCCAGGGGTGTCAAACATGCGGCCTGTGGGCCATGACCTGCTAGGGGTTCCATCCGACCCAGCAGAAGAAATTTGTAAGTAAAAGATATGAAAATACAGGCTGGTGGTCTGCCTGCTGGGCATTGCTGCCTGACACACCTCCACCAATGCCTTTGTGCTGGCGTGCTCATCTGAACACCTCCCTGGGCCCCACTAGTGCCTGAGTGTCACTAGTGGTGCCAACTTAGCTCAAAGGTGATTTCCTTGGTATGATTACGGGGTGGGGATTAGGGCTGTGGCAGGGGAATTATTAGGCGTCATCCTTATACTTACCTTCAGGGTAAGGGAAGGGGCTGAGGTAAGGGATGGGGTGGAATGGGGTGTCTTACTGGACTATAGCTTTTCTGATTAGCTGGTTGTTTTTATAAATTGACTATCTTATTGTAAGACACATCTTCAGTAGTGGACCTTGGGGTCATCGAGTGTTTCGGCCATTATCACTAGACACTCCCCCCCCCCAGGAAGGCCCCGCTGGGGTTGATCATGCCCCAGGG